TTACCTGGTTTTGGTATTAGAGTGATGCTGGCTTCATAGATGGAATATAGGAGTCCTCCCTCTGCTTCAATCTTTTTGAATAATTTAAGTAGCATTGGTTGGAGGTCTTCTTTAAACACCTGGTAGAGTTCTGCTGTAAGTCTGTCTAGGCCTGGACTTTTTTTTTAGTCAGGAGATTTTGTATTTCTGTTTCAATTTCCTTATAAGTTATGGGTCTGTTTCAACTATTGATCTCTTCTTGGTTTAACTTTGCTGGTTCCAGTGATTTTAGATAGCCATCCATTTCTTTTAGTTTTTCAAATTTAATAGAATATAGGTTTTTAAAGTATTCCCTTATAATGCTCTGGATCTTTGGGATTTCTGTTGTGATATTTCCCCTTTCATCTCTAATTTTGTTAATTTGGATTGGCTCTTTCTTTCTTTTGGTTAACTTGGCTAAGCGTCTGTCTATATTGTTTAGCTTTTCAAAGAACCAGCTCTTAGAGTCATTGATTCTTTATATTCTTTTCTTTGTTTCTATTTCATTAATTTCTGCTCTGAGTTTTGTTATTACTTATCTCTTGCTTGGTTTGGGTTTCATTTGTTCTTGCCTTTCCAGAGTCTTAAGTTGCAATGTTAAGTCATTTGTGTTCTTTTAGATTTTTTAATACTGGCACTTAGAACTATAAACTTCCCTCTTGGGACTGCTTTTAAAGTGTCCTAGAGGTTTTTCTGTGTTGTAATGTCCTTTTCATTGAATTCCAGAAATTCTTTTATTTCCTTCTTAATTTCTACTTTGACCTACTCATTATTCAGGAGTGTGTTGTTTAATCTCTATGAGTTTGTGTCGTTATTAGGGTTTCCTCCAGTGTTGATTTTAAGCTTTATTACATTGTGGTTTGATAGAATGCATGGAATTATTTCAATTTTGTATTTGTTGAGGTTTGTTTTGTGCCCCAGTATGTGGTCAATTTTTGAGAATGTTCCATGGGGTGCTTGGGTGGAGTATTCAGAAGAGGTATGTTAGGTCCATTTGATCTATGGTATTTAATTCAGACATCTATCTGTTTATTCTTTGTCTGGTTGACCAGTCTAATGGAGGCAGTTGGGTCTTGAAGTCCCCTACTATTACTGAGTTGGGTTTAATCTGGGATAGATGTGTATTGGTTGCCATCATTTTGATTATTGTTTGCATTCTTTGTCTAATTTTGTGTTTCTACAATTATACCTTCATTTAGTCTTTTTTTTCTGCCCTTGATCCATAGTTGTTCCTTTCTCCATCCTTTGTATTGCTTCAATATTCTGTGAAGGGCTGGTTTTGTGGACATGTATTCTTTCAGGCTATTCATGTCATGGAAGATTTTTCTTTCCCCTTCAGCTATAATGGACATTTTTGCTAGGTAAAGTATTCTGGGTTGGCATTTATGGTCATTTAGAACTGGAAATACCTTGGTCCAGGCTCTTCTGTCTTTCATAGTTTGCATTGATAAGTCAGCTGTAATCCTGACGAGTTTTTCTTTATATATGAGTTGTTTTTCTTTTGCAGATTTCAGTATTCTCTTTTTGTTTGGTACATTTAGTGTTTTTACTATGATGTACATTTGGGAGTTTCTTTTCTGCTCCTGTCTATTTGGTGTTCTATGTGCTTCTTGTATTTGTATGGGGATGTCTTTCCTTAATTTGGGGAAATTTTCTTCTACAATCCTGTTTAAGATCTGGTCAATACCATTAACCTGAAATTCATTTCCTTCCTCTATGGCTATGATAGATTTGGTCTTTTCATGGTGTCCCACATCTCCTTCAAATTCCATTTCTATGTTTTTAAAAAATTTACATAATTTTTTCTTGAGCTGTCTGATTCTTCAACTTTATCCTTCAGTGTAGATATTCTGTTTTCCATTTCATTCATTATAGCAGGAAGGCTTTTTCCCATTGTCTCAATTTGGCTTATTGAGTTTTTCACTTCCTTCTTCATTTCAGCCCTCATTTTCTTCGATGTTTCTATCTCTTGTGAATTCATTCAGAAGTTAATCCCTATCTTTTAGTTCTTTGATTTGTTTGTATGTTCTTTAAATTCATTGAATTCCTTGATCACGTTTATGATTGTTCTTTTAAATTCTGTTTCCTGGGTTATCTCTAGGGGGCTTTCCTTGTAGAACACTTCTAAAGGACTGATGAAGTTTGATGGAAACATATTGTTTTGGTTTTCCATTTTATTGTTTTTTCGCTGTGATTTTGGCATGTGGATTTCTCTTGTTTGTGATTTTGGCATGAAAGTCTAGCCTTCTTTTGTTGAGTTGAAGTTTGCTTCTGTTTCTATTATTGGCATGCCTTAGTTTTCTTACTGGGTATGTAGAGCTGGTTGGTCTAGGTTTCAGGTTCTCTCAGATTTTATTTTGGAGGGACCTGATGGGTTCAGTTCAGCTACTCAGTAGCTCCCATAGAGGCCCAAGTCAGGCTCCAGTCAAGTAGACTCAGGCTTCCTTCTAATATTTGGTCCCCTACTGGAGATACTCAGAGCACTATTTGGGAACTTCCCTAAGGGGAGGCCAGATCCAGGTGCTCTCAGGAGGTCTGCTGAATTCTCAACCCCTACCCCAGGTGGAGGCCAGGTCAAGCACTCTTAGGTAGTCTGCTGAGTTCTCAGCCCCTACACCAGGTGGAGGCCAGGTCGGGCACTGTTAGGCTGTTTCAAATTAGAGAAATTTTACACAGAATCAGTAAAAAGTTATTAAAAATTTGCAAAGACTACCCTGCACCAAGATTGAATAGCTAAAACCAGCTTGAACGAAAAGAACAAAGTGAGAGACATTATGCCATTGAAGTCATAATATAATACAAAGCTTTTGTAATTAAATAATATGTCATTGGCATTAAAACAGAAATACAGACCAGCTGAACAAAATCAAGGCCCTAGAAATAAACCTATGCGTCCATTGGCAATTATTTTCAACAAAGATGCTAAAAGCATGTGTTGAGGAAATGAATCTTCTCAATAAATGGTATTAGAACTTTGGATACCCATATGCAGAAGAAAGAAATTATACGTTGTGGGGCTGGAGAGATGACTCAGTGGTTAAGAGATCTGGCTGCTCTTGCAGAGGACCAGGGTTCAATTCCCAGCACCCACATGGCAGCTAACAACCATCCATAACTACAGTTCCAGGGGGTCTGAAACTTCTTCTGACCTCCGTGGGCATTGCATGACATGGGTGCACCTACATACATGCAGGCAATGCACTCATACATATGAAGTAAAAATAAATAAATAAATGAATAAAAAAATAAATAAAAGAAATTATGGATTGCCTGTCTCACACTAAAAAAAAAAAACAACTCAAAATGGATTAAAACATAAAAAACAAAAATTAAATACTTGAATACTGAAAGGATTTAAGGAAACATGAGGAAAATGCTTTCAGATATTCGAATGGGCTAGGAATATTTGAACAAGACTACACATGCTCAGACAATTTAAAAAAAGGAAAAATGAGATTGCATCAAATGAAAGAGCTTCTGCATAGCAAAGAAAAATAAGCATAAGCATGAAAAGACCATCTCCAGAATAGAGGAAATGATTTTCAAAGTATACATCTGACAAGAAAGTGTATGCAGGATACAAAAGGGACTCTTAACAGCAAAACAGCTCAAATAATTCAAATAAAAAAGGAAAATGGACTTTTGTCCACTTTGGAATTGGTACATGTTCCCATGTATTACTAAGTTCTAAGGGTTAACAATTCTTTTGATATTGTTCTTTTTGTTTTATATGATTTACACATTTCCTCCCATTATGTGGCTTATGTTTTTCTTTACAGTGATTTTTGAAACACAATTTTTAAATTATTTTTATTTTATTTTATGTGTAGAGTTTATAGCCTGCATATATGTAATTACACCCATGTTGTGCATTGCTCATGGAGGTTAGAAGAAGGTGTCAGATCCCCTGGAACTGGATTATAGATGGTTATTAGCCATTATGTGGGTGCAGGGAATCAAGAATGGGTTCTCTACAAGAGCAGCCAGTGCTCTTAACTGGTGAGTCATCTCTCCAGCCCTGAAACACAAATTTTTATGAAATCTCACTCATCAATCTTCTTTCTCTTCGTCACTTTTGTTGAAGAGCTTCATAGATTGGCAATATGCCAAATCTGTGAGAGGACAGGTGCATCTTTCCTGAAAAGCCACCTTCTGCATATTAATGGCTTATACTGCTGATATCTCAGTCTAAGATGGAAGCCAATAGGAAATTGAATTTTAATATAAAATAAACATGTTTTCTATCATTGTCCTTGTCTCCAGTAACATTTTGACACTTGGGAATGCCAGTCATCCTCTGTGACTCCTTGTCTTCAATTACAATGGAAAATAATAATCCTTTCCTTTCTTGGGTGCTGACAGAGTTTCTAGGACAATACTTTCTCTCTGCAAAATCTTTCACCAAGTTTATTGTTTTGCTCATTATTTTCTTCCATCATAGTGGATATGTCCTCCCATGTCTTCCTTTTCTTTTAGAACTTGAATAAATTTATATCAAGTGAAAATACCCAGTTGGAGAGCCACCATGATGAAATAAATTAGAGGAAATTGGGAGCTGATTCCATGTGCCTTACACACTGCTCTTTCCTTGATATTTAATGATTTGTATTAAATAAATAGCTATAATTCTCTGAACTCATTAGCATTACCTACTGCCTGCTTATGTTAGTGTTATAAAAATCCAGTTCTAGTCTCCTCCCCCCTCTTCCTCTCCCTCCTCTTCCTCAGGTCCCCTTCTTCTCTTTCTCCTTCCATTTCTTTCCTGCTCCATGAGAAAGTGAAGACGGAAAGATGAAAAACAACCTTGGAACTTCTGCTACGTCATTTATCAACCCCTCTGCGGGGACGTTGGCCTCCTGCCTTGGAAGAAACGTTCCCTGCAGAGGATAGCGTCAAAGGTATTCCTTGTTGCCACTCAGTGCTAGGCTTCAGGTGCCCAAGTCCAGGACCCACAGCCACTGTGGAGCCACACAGGGTGAACCATGTTGGGAGACTTGATGCAAAGGGTCAAAGGCGTGAAGGTGGCTCCATTGGAAGAGCAGAAGGATGACAAGCAGCAGCAGGATCCTAAGGAGAAAGAGCACCGGGAGTCCGAGGGATCCAGAAAAATAGGTCCCTCTCTGACAACGTTTCCTACGGCCATGATGGAGTTTACAAGCCTCCAAAGAAGGAAACGGTCTGACCCTGCTAGTTCCAACAGGGCATCAGGGCCCAGGCAGAACACCATCTTGGAAGGACCTTATGGCTTGGGCCGTCTAGTTTTCCCTGCCTTACAGCGTTTGAACAACATTCGCTTCTTCATGGTTTTGTACTGTTTCTTGGTGTTGTCTCAAGGTAAGTCTGAGAAACAGTAATCACTATTGTGGTAGACCTGGGGCTCCAATCAAGGTAGGGCAGGAAAGGGAGAACACCCTCTGACTCATTCTTGAGACATGAATGGAATCAAAGATCTTTCATTGTCGGTGATCTTCTGCACCTGTTTGTCACAGAGCACTCCACACTACTGGTGAGAGCTCTGGCCTCCAGACAGACAGCTAAAGAGAAGCTGGTGTTATTTCATGTTGTTTGATTATCAACTTAAACTCTGGTTTGAATCTCTTGGAGATTAAAATAAAGTCAAAAGCAGCATGTGTGATCACAAAGTTGTTTCTGTTTCTGCCCACAATTTTGAAACCCCTGGGCAAAGTGACTTTCTAACAGGATTTTGTTTACTCATCTGAGAATTGAAGGAGTGATAGGGCTTTCAGCGGTCCACATCACAGAATGAAACACAATGGTGTAATTATATTATTACTATATATTATTACTATTACTACTAGTTAATATGTTCAAAAACATAAGTTTCACTCTTCTTCTTGTAGCCCGTAATTTACTTTGCTCCCCTTCTGGACTTCTTGGTTTGGCTACCTGTTGTAGACTGTATTTACTTAAGCTCCTTGCAGCTGCCTTCCACCCAGCTTTCACTTAGTTACCAATAAGAGACTGTGTGCGAGGATGTCAAAAGTGGCAATAGAAGCCTGTATTGTTTTCCGCTTCTGGTAGTGGTTTTGGCAGCAAGAGCAATGCTAGGTGACTGAAGGTACATAGACTTAAACTTGGATATAAATATGATTCCAGCAGCTGCAACAGTGAATGATTCATCAGCATTGTGCTCACGGTCTGCCTCTGGCAACTGTTAGGACAACAGACCAGCAGGTGATAAACAAATTCTTACAGCTTTCAGGAAGAGTGTGGATACCTGACTCTCTACAAACTGAAGTAGCGATTTTAGTAGTTCAACAGCAGCAATGACTTGGGATTCAGCAAATTTGCAGAGTTCTATCAGGTTTTCATTTGTAGCTATATTCCCGTTCCACTCTAAGAAATACTCTGCTTTTATAGCTGTCCCCTGTATCAGTGTTTGGTTCAAACACTTAGTTTTAGTATTTTTCTTATTTATATGCAGAATGATGGGTGAAGACATATCATGGTACCATTTATTTAGTGGTCAAGTGTATGAATAAATGCCTTTTGTTGTTACATTGGATGTATGCATTGTTTTTTTAAAAGGTTTGAAAATGCTCAGAAATGGTAAACTTTACAGAATATCCTTAGAGAATATTTCTAACACTTTGTTTCAGATCTTCTCTTATCTAGTACACATGTATGTAGATATTAAACTGGGCTTTAATAAGAAACAATGAATAAGTATGATGTCTGTATGTACATATATATACATACGTATGTATATAAATGTTATAGAACAAGGTTCTAAAAATTGGTAAATAACCATTAGAATATTTTCTAAATTTATATAATTGAAATATATTACCTTAAGATAAAAATATTAAGTGAGATTATACAGAAAAAAGCAATTTACATAAAATTACTAATACAGATAGTTA